TTTCAACGTTGGATCGATCCGCTAATCGTTAAATGACGTTTCGTACATTCCGTGATCGTCATGGGAATACTATGGAATACCTTTCTGTTTCTCTCCATCGTCCGTTTTTTCGTTTCTCTATACATATCGTCCCTGATTCTATTTCTTTGTTCTTTCATCCGATCGTATATGAACGTATACTGTTCGATTTTTTATTGTTATTATTTTATTGCATTTGTTATTTTATTATCTATTATGACAAAGAGTGCGTAGTTAATACCAATGTTTTCAATTTTATTTCAATCATTTAATCAAAAATCTGTGATCCATATTTTATGCCACATATATTGAATAAAATTTAAATTTCGTTATTTCAAATATGTATGTTATATTTGTATACGTTACGATTTTTATATTTTAATTATTATTATCAGTTCTATATAAATATTCCTGATATCAACAAAATTTGTTTACTCTGTTCTGTATATTATTTATCATTCATTATATTACAATAAATAAAGCAGCTACAATTATATCTATTATTTATTCTTTTATAAATCATCGATAGATCATTCGCGATTCGCCGAAGAATTGATATTGTATGGGTGAATATAGGTAGTCGGTTGATAACGAATATAGAGAGAGCCGGGAATCAGACGCAAAATCCTCTTCCCTCGAAAGTGAATTTCAGATACCGCGCCGGCCGCAGCCGACCAGTTTCCGTCCCGCTTTCATCGAGAGACGCGCAAAAGCACTTCCGGTCTGGACGGAATGGAGCGAGTACCCGTCGCGCAACTTAATCCGGTTTTAATACCGGGCGCGCAAAAATACGGCGAGTGTTAGCGAGAAGAGGAGCATTATACAAATTTCGCCGCGAAAAATCGCCCGTTTATCGTTGCGGCTGATAATACGCATCGGCGCGACACTAAGTGCATTACGGCGTTTTTTTCCTCGACATTACTCTTGTTATTCTCGCGCTCTCCCTTTCGGACCATTTCTTTTTCCACCGATTCGCGTGCCGACGAAAAATATTTCCAGCGTTATTCAACATTGATATAATGAGCAAAAAAATTTTGAGATGCGAGAAATTTAATTCTGCTCATTTGATTTTGTCAAAATTAAATTGAAATGTATATTTATAAGAGTTTATTTGAAATCAAGTCTGGGAAAAATGTCTGCAGAATATAAATGGGCTCGTGATTAATTAAAGTAAAACACAAAATTTGCAATGCATAATGTGCGGCAGAGATTTTCCAAATTTATGTGCACATTACATTATGTCTATAAAATATTAATTTATTATCTATATCTATATAATACTTGTCACATATTATCACTTATATAAAATATATTATACTTTATGAAACACATTAATTCCATCGTCCAAGATAAAATATTCTGTATTGGAATTTAATTTTGCGACGGTATATTATAAAGGCAGCAAACTTAAACACATGACAGATTGAAATTAATTATATCGGATATAAAAAATATACATATATATCGCTGTGCGCGCAAGTGCGGATCAACGATGAGGATTAAAGAGAGAATAATAAAACCGCGCTATAAAATTCCATTTAATTTCAAGCATCAATACCATATTGCTGATAAAATATATTCTTTCAATCGTCAAGTTTATTGGCAATGTTCCCTTTACTCGCTCGTATCGTTTCTTTCTTTTCTATCTCAGAACTGCGCCAACATCGCTTCACACAAAGGGGGAAAGCGCCTATTCGACGGCACGCGAATAAAAAGCTGCAGGAAAATCTCTGTCTTTGAACAAGGATTCGATAACACAGTTTGTCGCTAAGGGACATTGACAACCGCCGGCAAACTGCGCGCCGTCTGGCTCTGCGTCGATCGAATCACTGAATTTACGTCTGAAAAATCCACGCACGAGTCACTAGACACTCGTTCGCGTTTTTCACCTTTCGTCGTCATACTCAATATTGCTAAATTGAGAAAACCAAAATTATTTTCCTGCAGAGCAGAATAGAAAAAAAATGCTAAAATCATAAATTTCTCGTTCCTGCGTAACTATTTGTCTAAATTATTTGTATAGATTTTAATGATTTAATATTTGGTAGCTCTCGGACACAATTTCATCCGTCTGAAAAAATGATCGAGTTAGGAGAATGACGTTTCGCGTCGCGACGTTTCAAATGGAGCTCTGAAAACAGCTGACTCTGCCCGCAAAACTCGCGTTTTATAATGCTCTGCACATTTCATATGTCGCGAATATGGCGTTTGTGTTATGCCGCGCATCGGACGATATATTAAACGCTGTAGGCGTGTTCCGTGCAGCGTCGCAGATAATCAGGTCGGACCGTGTTTTCGATAAACTTCACCGTGACGCAATTAACCCGCATGGTTTTCAGTCGCGACGTGATATATTCGTCGAATAAATAGTAGTTGTAAAGTGTTTAATTATATCGCGTGAGAGAGATACTCGAGAAGAAATGACGGATTTACTCCAATCTTACATGCGTCAGATATATCGTAATATATCGTGAATCGAACGTAATCAAATATGACGATTCTGTTAATTATTTTAATATAATGTGATATAAAGAAATGATAATGTGCTTTCGCGTTTTCGAAGAGAGACATTTATTATACCTTATATTATCGTTGAAATAAATATAAAAATTTGCATTGCATAATGATATAATTTGTATAATTTTGTATAATTCCATAATTATTCAACGGTTCATTCTTATTTGACACGATCATTTTGTCTCTCGAGATCGATTATATGTTCGCGATATCACCGACGCGATGCAGAAATATCGTGTTTTCAATACAAAGACATTTCTCGTTCTCTTCCGACGAGTTAAATCAAAGGAATTGTAGGCGTGTCGTGTTCCAATTAAGTGAAGAATCTGTTATGCAAATCGAGCGCTATCGATTACAGCTGTGCGACGAAGCGGCACGATGAATTTAAGACAAATATCCGTGCAACGAGGACAAATGAAAGGGAAGAAAGGGAAAGGGAGGAGCGTGTAACTCGAACTTCTCGAGATAATAGCTATTTTAGCTCGATGCGTTTAAGCAGCTGAAACGCAGTATTTTAGGGAACAGGCATCTGTGCTTGTTTGTTATAAATAAATTGTTACAGAAGATCAACACTATGTTGTTCTCTCTACTTAGTCGACAACTAAAACCGTACGTTTGACTTGGGCGGAAACTTGGTTTGAAACTTGCTTCTACGTGTGTCCGCGAAGGCGAAATCCTTCAAGGTGCTTTCGCATCGCGCTACCGATCCATATACAATGTGTATATGTGCGAAAGAGACGATCGATATTTTAGTTATCCGTCGATCGATGAAAGTTCACGTCAACGGGATGAACGATGGGCTGGTCAAGCTTTGGTCGAAAAGCGTTGTGCTTTATCTCCGTTCAATTTCTCAAACCCGCGCATCTGCGAAACGACATCAGTTTTATTTACACGCGACAACGGAATTCGCGGCGAATGGGATATATTGCTGTATGCACGTGAAAACATAATAAATCAAACGGGACGACGTCGCGCGCAGCGCAGAGTCCGACAAAGAAATCTTTGCTAACGGCGCCTTATTATCATTCCCTGTCATGCGACATGAATATAATGGACGAGAGAGCTCATTGAACGTTGTATTTTCACCAGGAATTCTATATCATTCCTTTGGAAAATCACGCGATCTCGAGAGGGGGAAAAATGGAATATCGCTCTGCGTTTTTATTAACGCAAATCTCCCTCTTCATTTATACCCGATATCCGACTGTCGAGTCGTTTTGCTTCGCCTGGTCATATTTTACAGCGGGAAAAAAAATTATACGAGAGCTCATACGAGATGTCACGAGAAGTACCTTCTTTTATTCATTTGACTTGAAATACGTGTGTTGTGTATATAAGTATGTGTATAGAATGAAAGCTTCAAGTATCATTTTTCTTAACAAAAGTCGAGAAATGTGTGATTAACGAAATTTCAATCTTCATTTAGTTTTAAATAAGACGAGATATAATTAAATTTTCATTTGAAGTTTTTCGTTATAAAACTAATCATTCACCCTGGCAATCGATTTCCCAACTAAAAAACTTTACCTCGTCAATTTTTATCTTATCAATAAATATGCAAAAGCTGTATTGGAAAAAATTATAAGTGACATTACTTCTATACATATAAATCAAACGTCACTAATCATACATATTTCTGCGTCATTTAATGTCGCGAAATTATTCGGCATATAACATATGGAGATTTTCCCACATTTACGATTCTAATAAATACGAATATTCTAATAATACAAATATCCGCGCATTTGCACTCGTATATACGTATTTACCATTTAACATCAGTTAAAGATATATATACTGTATGTGTCTATCCGTGAAAAATATATTCATCCGTAATGCAAATTCCCGCATATTCGCGCATGTCTGTGCCGTGTGGATTTCCCTGCGGATCGTTTTTACACCCGCATTCTGAAGTAACGAAATAGTGAATTGATACTCGATAGCCAAGCTATCGATATGCCGTTCGGCCTCTGGCCGAAATGCGATACGGCAGCCTTTGCCAAAACCGGACGGATAACCGTATCCGGTTGTCGAAAGGAAGAGCTTCTCCTGCAGTATACGATCTAAAAACGCAGCACCGCGTTTCCGTTATTTTTCCATTTCGCTCGCGAACACGAGCCTAGAGGCGTCATCCGCGCTCGAAGAGCTTCAAACACACGAAATCATTTTTTTTCTACCTTATATGTTTACATAAAATCTTCACGTAACAAAAAAAAAACCCGAAGAGAATTGTATATCGCATATATGAAACTGCCTCAGCGATGAACAAATGTTCTCCTAAATCTCGAAACTTGAATGAACGTGAAACGTTATTAATTACTGTACAAATGTCCCATATTTGGAACACAATAGAGGGTCTGAATATACATTAACCCAAATATTGCGCGAGTTAATTAAGTAATAACTATCTGATACCGAACGAACGCGCAACACGGCGTTAATGAGATTCCAACTTTTGATTTCAGTGCGAGAAGTTACGTTGTCCGAACTCAGGGACTCGATAGCGAGGTTACGGGAGAGAGTGAAGCTAGTATGCAGAACGAGGGGCTCGCCGCCCCCGAGAGTGCACTGGTTGAAGGACGGTGTACCACTGCACCCCCGAAGAGGCCTCAGGATTCAGCACAAACGGTGAGTCCAACCGAGACTTTACCATTATAAACGCGCTGCTTCTCTCTCCTTCTGTATCCTTCCTCCTCTGAACGTCAAGCTTTCGGCAACGGCACACCCCGTATAATAACACGTCGGGGCAAACTACTCAGACAACGAGCAGTTAATTCTAGATATCCGCTACAGAAACCGAAGGTACGTTGTTCCCGTCCGACACCCGTCCCAACTCTAAAGCGCTATCGATACGCTCACTGTTAGACGTCCGCCTCGAGGATCATTTTCGTAATCGTTATTAGACAGAACGAGACGGATTTGATAGCCAGGATTCTCAGCCTTAGTTCTCAGTGACGTCGCAATTTCAGATACGTCTGTGCAAAGTGATGCGTAACACATATAGCGGTCATTGATTATATAACTCATTCACGCGAGAATATCGACTTTTTTCGTCATTTAATAATATACAAAAATTTATTTAATATTTTATATCATCGCGATACGATCGTCTTGTTGAAATTATTTTTTTAATATAACTTTGAACAGATTTTTCCAATTGTACCAAAAATACCATTATTTAATTTTATATTATTTCGACGTGCACGTAATACGCGAGTTGTCGGACGAAGAGTGTTTTGGAACGGCGTAAGATACGAGTCGTCACGAAAGTTTCGGAAACTACGAGAGAGAGAGAGAGAGTTGGAGCGTAGGAAGCGAGGGGAACAATGTGTGCTTTTCTCACAGTTCGATGGATTTTAACGAGCCCTCGAATTGCGAGTTCAGTGTCGCGCGCGACAACTTTACTCGCGATTTAGCAATCTCGAAAACAGCGCGCGTCCGATTCTCGCACACTTAGTCGGATGAAACGAAAAAAGGAAGTAGTCACCGTGAAAATTGCGACACGCGCGACGTGAGAGAAACTTTGCAAAACGTGCAACACATGAACGTTTCAGCTTCTCTCATCGCGCTATTTTTAATATAAATTAGAAATTAATTTTTATTTTACACTTTATTAGACACTAAAGGATATCTCGATTTTTTATGTGCTCCTTTTCGCAACATTATACAACTTGAAAGATAATAAATATTCCTGCATGTTGAGAACGCAAAATTGGTGTTTTATAAATATTATGAATTTATGTTACGATTAAAAATTGCAATTCATCTAGATAAATAAGTTTTCTCCTGCTCGCATAAAAAAAAAATATAAAAGTTACACGTTTCTGCCTCTGCAATATCGCTGATAATTTGCTAAAAAGCTCGACAATAATTGTTTTAGATAGGACGTTTATTTATTTAGGCTATTGCTTTGCGTAATAAAAAATGTTTGTGCGTGTGTTGCTTCCGGATTTACGATGACAGGCCTTGGAAGCTATAAAATAAATTTTGTCACTCACAAATCAATCGGAATTGTGCTCAACAAGTGCGCGAGAAAACACATCACGTAACGCGAATGTAATTGCTGCTGCAGAATGCAACATCTGTTTGCAATCAATCATGATATTAGCTGAAGTTCATTGCGCGGTGTTTTTTATCGATCATCGCGAGCGAGCCCGATATAATCGCCTATACATATGTCTGCTTTTAATTCATCATACGACATTTAATTACAATAATCGGGCGCGAATTTAAAATTAGAAAAAAATCTCGCGGATCGTTATACAAATATAGATCGAAGCCAATTTCCGAATTCATAAAAATCACGCTATCTTACTGCACGTGCTTCATTTTTCTTGCGTTTTATTCGCGTCAGCTTCCCTTCTTATAAAAGTCTTATAGTACACATCACATTTTTCTCGGATGCTTTGCGAGACATTGATTTAATTGTATTTCGCGAATATGATGATGAATAACGTTTATAAAAATTTGTTTATTATTTATTTCCCCGCACAAGGCTCTATGCTGACATTAAGCTTTGCGTGTATATACACGAGCGATCAATCATCATAAAATTTAATTATGATTGGTGCGCGAACACGATGGTTATGCACTCTGATTTACATTACTTATCGATAATAGCTGACATTATGAGCCATATTCGCTTCGAAAACGGCATCGTGAAAGATGCGATATAGTTTTTTTTAATAATTCTAAATCGTACGGATTTGTGAAGGAAATATTATTTGCTACATTTATACCTCCGCAAACAAAAACAATTCTTTCAAGATTCTCTCAGGTACACAACTCTAGCCTGTTTCACGGTAAAATTCTATCTCATATTAGGCTCTATATATTTCCGCGGGCGGGGTGAGAACTTTTAACGAAAAGGGAATAAATTGAGAGGGTATCCAGCCGCGATCGACGCTTCCGTAAGGCGCCGCTCTGTCCGAGGGAAGAGAGAGAAAGAGAAAGAAAGAGAAAGAGGCTAAGAGGACGAGAGGAGAATTTCGATTCGGGAAACTCGCCGGGGAGCTCTCCAGCTACTTCTCGTCGACCATAATCTCGGGCGTGCCATAAATTTGTTTAGCGCGATGCACTTTTCCTCGGCGCGTAAGTCTCGGAATAATCTCAGAGCAGCCCATAAATTCGCCACCTCCGCCACCGGCACTCGCCTTTCTCGCTCGGGCCACCCGTTATATTCCGGCCGCGATAGAAACGAACCTTCGCCGTGAAGGTGAAGAGCCCTGGAGTTCTCCCTCTTTACGTGTGTGATATCTCGCTCGTGGAAACGACAAGGTGCTTTGTAGATCTCTCACGTCTGTTCGTCGGCTCTCCTCATATTTGTCACACTCAGTGTTTAAAATTTATCTCTCCTCTTCTCTTCTCGCGCGTAGGATTGTAATTTATTAATTTCATACAGACAGGTGTAATAAAAATTTATAACATAAATTGTGATCATTGCCCATTTTATGATCATAGAATTTTCAAATAAACTTCTTTAGCTCATTTTATGCAACAAATTGTTTTTTAAATATCTCCACGCGTATTTTTCTCTATATCTTATCTTGAGATATCCTGCAACATGCCTGTAGTCTGTGAAAGTCAGAAAAACACTGCTATAAAGACATGCGAGAAGACACTGTCGTGTTTAAAGCAGTGATTTTTTTGCACGTAATCTTTTTGCAAAGTCCTTTCTAGAGATGTAAATTTTTTAAGAATACAAATTATTTACACACGTAAAATTAATTTATATTGATGATGTATTATACAGGGTGTCCCAAAATTAATAGCAAATCTTTTAATGATTCCTGAGATCATTTGAAGACGATTTTTCCTCGGCGAAAATGTCGAGATCATTTTTTGCATGTTCTCAATTTTTTTAATTTTTGAAATTAATAAAAGAATGTGATTTTATTAGTATTTCATTTATTTTTGTTGAGGAAAAATCGTCTCCAACCGATCCCAAGAATCTGTCATAAAAGGTTCGCTATTATTTTGGAACACCCTGTACATAAATATTCCAAACGTTTTTAATTCAAGATATAAATTGAACGAACGAAAGGGTGCATGAAGAACCGCTGCTACGCTGAAAGAAAGAGGAGCAAGGTTCGTAAACACATTCTCGTTCATGTCGTGCATCGCTTCTCGATCTTACGACGTCGTAGCGATCAGCGTGTCACCTGTGCCGAGGATATTTCCCGCCATAATTTTCAATTACTGCCCTCGCAACGAGAGACGAGCACCGGGGCACCGCGAACGCGCCGTCAATGTCATTCGGCTCGTAATCGTTATTGGATAACAACCGCGTGTATCGTAAAATCGAACGTGTCCGCGCTATTTGATACGCGAGAGAGTCATATTCGTGCTCGCGAAACTCCTTTCTCGCCTCCGCCTCGCATCACTCGGCAGAAACGTCGACGTAAAACTGTCATCCGCCGCTTAAGCTTGTCTAGACTGGGCGGCGTGTATTTTATAGACGATATAGTCCCTCCGGGCGCGGAAATATATTCTCCTGGCCTTTGTGTCCGCGCGATACATCGGTAAATCTCTTTCTATCTCTCTTCCTCTCCTATTCTCTCCTTTTCTCCCTCCGATCGTTTCGTTTGGCAGAATTGCCGTCACCTTTGTCGAACGGGTGAGAAAAATATTGGAATTTCGGATGACGAACGTCGGTGCTTGGCTCGAAAATAAACTCGTAATCTTGTCAAATCATCGACGCAATATATAAAACAAAGCAGATATACGAGGGCGAGTGTCAAAAGACACGAGTCTTCTATTCGTTTAGCCTCAAGAATAAAATAGAGACGACAGGCCCATGTTTCTGTTTTCGAAATACTGTCCGGGGAAGATATACTTCCCGTGGGAAATTGAAATTTTATATGTAGCAACTGTGTCATATTTTTATTTCCTAAAACTCACGTCAAGAATATAAATACACTTATCTTGTATTTTGTACATTCAGAAATAAATAGGAAAATTGAGAAACCGCTGCACAAAAAGACGAAAGGTAGCGGTGACAGAAAACTTAATTTGAATAAAAATTAAAAAAAGTACCTAAAAAGATTTTTTTAAATATTATTTTCAAAAACGATATTCCCTTTCCGGAAAGGATGTATAAAGAAAATAATAAGTAGAAATACAGCAAATTAATCAAACTTGAATCATAAAGCTGTTGCATGAAAACGAACATCGATAAGAACTCCTTTTTGAAGCGGTAACGTTAGGGATGCATTGAGACCAGAAATCTGGCGGCGTTCCTTATGCAGGAACTTAATGATTTCCACGAAATTAACCCCAAGACATCATGAGATCGCGACGTTAATGCCATTACATTCACAAATCGAATCTCGTAGCGCCGTCACAGATCGCATTCAAGCCATGCGAATCGAAACCTCTCGAGAGGACTAGCCAGCATTCGCGATGCTACATTCGCAGGGTTTGCAGCATTTCGCTTTGACCGTCGGGGGAAAGTAGCTTTGATGTCGCGTGTAATGGAGTTTTACGTCGCAGTAAGGAACGGAGGGAAAACTTTGCGCGTGCTGCGGCGAAGAGAGAGGAAAAATCGGGAAAAGGAAAAATCACGGGGTGTTCGCGAGAGCAAGTTTCTTTGCGAGGGATCTTTGGCGCAACTTTTCTGTTCCTTTGAG